GCCGGCAGAGAGAGCAAAGCCACCAGTATATAATAAGATGGACTGCCACCTGAAATTCTTGCATTCACTTCCATAGCGAAAGGGGCCTGCTCTTTCCTGTCCCCCAGCATTTAATCATTTACAGCTCTGTTCATGAAATTTCCTGTGAAGATTTACTGCTTTAAATAGTCACTTCACCAAAAGGAGAACTTTACTTCACAAGGGGATAGATACATGATCTGAAATACTTTATTCTAGAGGCTATACCTATTTTAAGTAATTTCTTTGTAAAAGCTGTAAGATGATGACATCTTTGATCCAGAAGTGACCTTGATGACAATGCTTCCAGCATGTTAATGGGGATAACGGGAACTGAAGATTCTGTTAAAATTCACATTCTGACTCGATAGGTGGGTCCTGAAATTCTGATTTTCTGTCCAGCATTAAAGTACTTCCAAGAGTCTGCCCTGAAGTCAGTAGTGTGGCTTGTAGACCAGAAGGTCCTCAGGAGAGGATGCATGCATTAAGCCACAGCAGCCACTGCTTTGAAGGGAGCACATGGCAGGCTTAGGAAAATGAACCACAGCCATTATTAAGTGTTTTTAGCAATGACTTCACATTATTTATGTCCAAATCACTGTTGACAATTTCAAAGAAGTTATTTAGGGTGCCAATATCCATTACTTCAGTCACGTTTTAGTAGAACTGTTTGTAAATTTCATTGGTTACTATTCACTCAGATAAGACACTACAGGGTGTCTTAAACAGTATGTAAATTGCTATAGTAATTTCCCTATTATAATAGGTATTTACATTCATCATAAAATGTTATGATTATAAGGAAATAAGTATCTACTTAAAATATGGGTGTTCTTAAATATGTACATACCTAGCTTACACATTTTTTTTCTTTATGGAAAACAGTTAGCAAATAGGAATGACTTCCCTTGAGATCTACCATCTCACATTAACTTCATAATACAGATTGTGGTTATTTTCATTTAATGAGTAACATACTATAGTGTGAGATACAAAAATTAAATTCATCTCAAAAGCACCATTGTAACTAGTGTCTAGAAACTACTCATCAAACAGGTTTAACTTCCTTATTGTGTTTTCTTGGAATACTACTAAATACTAATATTTTATTCATCAACTGGTGGTAGGAAGATAATCCCTAAGAACAGAAGAACACTGTGCTGTAGTTTAAAAACAACAGTACAGTAAATGTGTATAGCGTGATTGGTGTACTTCCTCACCAGTTTTCATTTCCATCTCTTAAACAAACAACCTGAAAAAGACTAGGAAGTTAGTAGAAGCACAAGCCACCAGGAAACTGTGATGCATGTCATTTGGGGACACTCAGAAGATTTTGGCTCGAAATTTTGAAATGATAAGGCAAAGTAGGGAAAGAAGGGAAAGGGGCATTATACTTTTATTATCATATAATCTCTACTAACTTGATGATAATGTCTGTTATCTTACTTGTCCAGGAATAGAGGTCCCAAGGCTACAACCACCTTGTACAAATGTGCATTTCTCTGTGTAGAGATAGCATGTAATCCTAGGCCATATGAATACATAATCCTTGAATTTTTTGTATAATCTCCCTGTATTGCAGTTTGAGGTGTACACACTGTAGGCAGAGACACATTATAATTAACCCTGTAATTGAGGAAATAAGGATTGTCCCACAGAGCCATCGGATTTCTCTCAGCTCAGTTCCTAGGCTTCTTCTTCTGGTTGACAAGGAATGGCTTCCAACCACAATTCTCCTTTCCTCTTTCAGTATCTCTTGTAGGTGAGGCTATGAATACATGCATACCAAATTATAGTAGCTGTTTTTTGATGGTCATGTCAAACGCTGTGAGGGAGCATAATTCGGAACTGTATTCCAGCATGGAGGAGCTGGAGATAATAATAGTGGTGTAATAGCAGAATTCCTTTAGAAGATGAAGTAGGTAGTGTCATTTTAGTTTCTAGTGCAGAGCTTTACACTGCCATTTAATTTAGAGCTGGGTGTGTTTAAAATTAGAAACTGACCATCTGTGGTTTTCTTCATAAGTATGAAGTCATCCTGGCCAAAGGTTGGGGAAAGTCAGCTTGTGTTTGTGATATTTTGGGAAATAAAAAAAAAAAAAAAAAAAAAGAAGAAGAAGAAGAAGAATGTAGAAAAGTTTGAAAATAATCACTAGCAGTTTAGAATTTAGGAGAATTTTGATGTGTATGCAGAGACATTCAAGTGAAGTCAGTGAAGTCAAGATTAAGAAAATTACTGGGAAGCGCATAATAGACTAGGAGGACGGATCATGACATTTGCAGAGTGTCTACTTTGGTGACACTATTCTCCCACATGACTCTGCTTACTATTTTCGTCTCTTTCTAGCAACATTCAGAAATTGGGGTTCAGGGGTGTAATGCCATTTCACCAAGGTCACAAGAGTTCAGCAAGAACTCAAACCCAGATCCCTTCAAACTGAAATCTGATCGTGCTTTTTCCCTTTGTTTGTGCTGTTATTCTACTCTCCCCAGCATTGATTTGGTTCTGTTTTTACAGTAAACAGTAGGGTCAAATGAATTCAGCTAAAAAATGCATGCATTGTGAAAATATTAAATCATAAAATGATTGGAAATTATCTTTGGCTTTTGCACAGAGTAAAGGACAATTAATGGTTGACACTATCTGCAAAATGAAAGCACAGTCATAGCATATAAACATTGTTTAACTAATATTTGAAATATGCATTTATGTAGCTGCCAAAAAAGTTTACTTCCTTTTAGCAAGAACCCTTACGGACAGGATATGAACAGGGCAGCAACCCCTATATTTGTAGATAGCATGAAAAGTATTTTTTCAGTACAATATACGTTCATTAATAGATATCTGAGAATTTAGAGACAAAAATCCTTGTAGTAAACTATGGTTACCATAATCCTTATTTTAAAAAATTCTTACAATTTTTTTTTTGCATGATAGTTTTATATTTCACTTTCCATGGTGACTAGAATGGTACAAGGATTATTTAAGAATTTTTTCTTCTTTGTTAAGTACTTTTAATGGATTTTTTTTTAAGTGCTAGAGAAATGGCTCAGAGGTTAAGAACTGTTCTTCCAAAGGTCCTGAGTTCAATTCCTAGCAACCACATGGTGGCTCACAACCATCTATAATGAGATCTGGTGCCCTCTTCTGGTGTGCAGGCATACATGAAGGCAGAATATTGTATAAATAGAAAATAAATTTTAAAAAAAGTTACATTTTCCTATACCACTTGTTTAATGTTTTGGTATTGTTTGCCTTAATATATAGTCACCATTAGGAAAATAAAACAATTTAAATTTTTTAAATGTGAGGTTCTTGTCTTGAGAAATATTTTAGTGTAGGTTTGCGATAGATAGTAAATTTCATTTTAAAAATTTTCAGGGCTTTCACTTTGAAATTATCAGTAACTCTCATAGCCTCGTGTTTATACACAGAAAGCCTAGGATGTAACTAAGAAGAAACAGTACTGCATGGACATAGATTTTTTTGTTTTTAACTCAAGTTTCTAATTATTATCTTTAAGGTATATTTTTAGTTGGCTTGCTTTGCTTCTGTTTTGTGGTATTAGGACTTGAACCCAGAGTTTCAGACATACCAAACAACCCCTGTCACTAAGCTATATTTGAGGATTTCCTTTTTTTTTCCTTTTTTAATATATTTTTATAATTTTTATAATTATTATAATGTATTCACTTTGTATCCCAGCTGTAGCCACCTCCCTCACAATCCCACCCTCTCTCCCTCTTCTCTTCCCTTGCCCCACCCTCTAGTTTTTTTGTTTGTTTGTTTTTTTGTTTTTTTTCCCCACACTCCCAGTTTTAAAGATCAATTCTGTAAAGGTAACTTTTGTTCTCCTGGTATAATTGTTGTCTCAGAGGTTTACTGCCTCTGTCTGCTAACCTAGGGCTGGACTTGGAAGCTTCTAGCCTCTGTATAAACTAATCTAGGCCTAAAATGTTTTCAGCCTCTGAGACTTATTACTGAGTAAGTTCACCCTTTCTAGCTCTTTCTGAGCTCTGGCTGGCTGGTTCAACTTAACTGTTCTGGCTCAAACTCCTCTGTGCAAGCTGATTGATTCAATGTCGCTTCTCTTACTTCTGACTGAATTGCTCTGCTTGGTCTCAAACTAACCCTAGCAATGTGTTCTAATCTTATGACTCCTCATTCTCTGGCTCTCTTCACCTGTGTCTAGCTTGTTCTCTCTTTAACCCCTTCAACCCATCTATGCAAAACTCTCCTGGTAAAACTGACTCCTCTGTCTCTCCCTCTGCATTGCTCCCCTAGAGCCTATCTCTTTCTTCTCCTCATGAAAGTTGGGCATAGTCTATTCTGTTTCTGCCTCTTAATTACATGTCATTTTCAAACTTGGGTTCTTCCTTCTGCAAAAATATTTTACCTCCATTGTTTAGGATTAAAGGTGTGCACTAAGGGTGTGTCTGCATTCCTGCTGGATCTTACAAACCTAGAAGGTCTTTGGATGTAGTCAGGGCAGCCATGTTGCTAGATTAAAATCACTGTAATCAATTTTATCTGAAATTAAATTTGTTTGCTTTGTTTTTAAACTGAGCCTTATGTGGTTCATGCTGCCCTACACCTCTCATGATGTATCCAAGGATGTCCTTCAAATCCTGAAAGGGGTATAGGGCTGTACCACCATGACGGGATAAAGTTGAAGGTTTTTTTTTTCCCCCCAAAGCAGTATGACTACATTATTCAGTCTTTTTTATGTTACCTACATTTTCCATTAAAGAGAAAAAAGATACATTTCCTAACTGCTTATGCTAGTTAAAGTACAAAGTACATAGCAACTGTTTGAAGCTGTGTATTCTTCCTGTCTCTACTGTATAAATTGATAAATTACTTCCATTGGATGCTTCTAGGTGTAGGAATGTTTTGCATGATTGAATGAGGACTTTAGTCCTCCCTCGAAGGAGATCTTGAAATGGCGTCTCTATCACTTACCTCCTCTCTCTTGTTGCAGTACCCTGCTGCTCTCATGAACCTGGGGGCCATTCTGCATCTCAATGGGCGACTCCAGAAGGCTGAGGCCAACTACCTGAGGGCTCTGCAACTCAAGCCAGATGATATCATCACTCAGTCCAATCTCCGAAAGCTGTGGAACATCATGGAAAAGCAAGGCTTGAAGACCTCCAAGACCTGACACATGAGAACTAACCTCCCTCTCCTGTGTTTGTCAAAGTTGCCCTCATTAACAGACAGAACTTCCCAGCAGTGCTTTCATGAAAGCTCACAGGGGACTTCCAGCCCCAGGCCGAGGTCATCATGGTAACTGCCACTGCTGGGAGAATCCACTTTGCTATGGGCATAGCTCTTAACACCAAATAGGGAAACATTGAAAACCTCCTAGAGGGTGTAATTGTTACCCATAGACTGTAAACCAGAGCACTTAACAGGACATTTTGGCGTCCTTAGATGGTAGGAGGATCTTAGCAGCAAAAGTTGCTCACTTTTTGAGAGAGAATTTTCAAATTATATTGTTCCTTAAACACTGTGAGGGGAAGTCAGGGAGTCCATCCAGCCACAGTGAACTCTAAAGGTTAAGTGTGACCAGGGGTTGATTAAATCATAGTGTGAATCCCTGTGAGCCACTGGTTGTCCTTATGCTGCTGTCTTCCCCCTTTGGGACAGCCTGCTTATTGATTTCTGAAGGTTATAAAACTTTGGTTTTAACATTGTGTCAGGATCTTTCAGAATCTGCAGTTGTTTCTTGACTTCATGCACATAAACATTTTATGTTTTGACTGTCCTAGGCTTCCTAGTGTTGAACATCATTTGTCATGTCCCAAAATGAATGTGGAAAGAAGAGCTAACCACTCATACAGATAGTATGAGAAGGCCTAGGGAGGTCTGGGGTGTGTGTCCCAAAGGCACTTTCATTTGGAATTGTCAGTATTGTCTCCAAAACTGTACAGTAGAGCTCATTGTATTAGTTCTTTTGAAATTACCTGTTATGATGTCTGTTCCTGGTAAGTATACATGTTCACTAAGCCTGAAACAAAGGGACATTATGAGTGTTCCAGTTCCAGTAACTGATAGTGAGCATATAAGGCAAAGTTTTTGGTGCTGCCTAGATAATGGTTGTTATAATAAGCCAGTGAAGGGTGAGTACTTAAGGATTGTTGTCAATGACTGTGTTTTGGAAAGAGCTGGTATGAAATGCCCATCAATTCCTAACCTACAAAACAACAGTGCAGATAAATCCTTGAGGATTGTCTTATGTTGCTCCTCCTGAAAGATGTCAAAAATAAATTATTTTAAGATGCCATAGAGTACGCATAAGCCTGCATGTATCCTCATGTTTCACCAAATGCGCATCTCAGTTTTTCCAATAGAAAACTGAGTATTTTATTTCCTTACCTGCTATTAGGTACTTCAATTATAATTTTATAAGTAAAAATCCATAAATGAAACAGAAAAACATTTCTTTAACATTTTTTGGCTTGTACTAAAACTTTGTTACTGAAAGATAAATTCCTGGAATGGCAGTCCATTAGGAACGTCCTTGTAGAGAAACTAACTGTTCTATACCCTACATATTTATTTATTTATTATCCAACCGTAGCAAAATAACAACAAAAATTTGTTATCAGTTATTTGCAACTAAGGATTAGCCTTTTCTTCCCTTTCATACTTCATGTATATATATATATGTATATATATATGATTAGCGATTCCATTAAAGGGAAGCTGGACATTCAAAAAAATACTATGTTTTTTCCCTATATTATACATTGTGTCATGTATCTGAATACAGTGGATAAAGAATTTGAAGTAGTATTCTTATGACATTAGCGTCTTTGTGAAAAGGACAAAAGTAGAGAGAGTTTTGATGGGATTAATGCAAAGGCCCTCCTATAATGTGTATATTATTTGTAAACATTTCACTCAAGGGCCAGAAGTTAAATTATAACTAAATCACCATGTTGTCAGAATAATATTTAACCTTAACAACTACAAACCCATGGTCAAACCTAAACAGTGGGTTGAAATATACAGTTCACTTTCTATGCATTGGCAATTAGGACACAAAAGAAATTTAATATAACGCTGTAAAGATAAATTCAGTGTCTAACATTTTTTATTTATTTAAATAGTTGTTGTGGCATACTAGTCTTTGCATTTTATGTCTTTATTGTTATTGTTCCTTTTTCCAACACTTTTTCCAACACCATTAGGTTTACTAAATGCATAGTAACCACACTTCATATGACTCAGCTCCCAAGTGGTATAAGTAATTGGGCCTGTGTCATAAATTGCATGGATCTTTAATACCTACATGTCCCTGACACTTTTATGACAGGGCTGGACTTAGGAACTGACCAACTCTGGGGGGAGGGCTGGGATCTTAGAACACGATCAAAATGTCTCTGCTCAGGGATTTATGGTGGATCATTGCAGACAGTGCTAAAAATGTAGAGCACAAGACAAGTTTACTAAATTAAAATTTTATTTTTTTGAAAAAAACTGTTATTTGTATAAATTATCAAGATTTGTAGGCTTTCCTTTTGTAGAAATAATTGTTTTATGTGCCAGAGAATTTCAATTTTGTTTTGAACAATAAAGCATTGATAACAAACATGTTGTGTTCGCCTTCTTTAGAAATCATCCTCGGCAACAGCCCTTAAACTCTGGCAACCATTTTTGTTTTGCTTGGTGTGAGACAAGGTCTGACAGAGTTCCCCAGGTTGATCTTAAACTTGCAGCTAATTTTTCCCCTCAACGACCCAAGTGGCTTGTGTCACCATGCTTATGTTTTAAAGATTTATTTGTATGATATTTTAATTGTGCATATGTGTGTGTAGGAGTTGCGTTCTGTGCGTGTGAGTTCAGGTACCCTCAGAGTTTACAGGCATCACCAGGAGCTCTACTTAAAGGCGTTAGCCACCCCACACAAGTGCCGAGACCCAAACTCAGATCCTCTGAAAGAGGAGTGTATTCATTACTTTTCTGCTGTTCCAATAAAACATTCTGAGCAAGGCAACTCAAAAAAGAGAGCATTTTCTCTGCCTTCTGGTCCCATGGGGATAAAAGTCGAGGTGGTAAAGTTAAAAAACAGGCAGTAGGTGTAATGGCAAGAACAGGAAGCTTGAGAATTTCATCTCTTAAAACACAAGCAAGAAACAGAAAGAGGGACAACAATACAAAGAGCAAGAGGCTTTGAAACTCCAAAGCCTCTGCCAAGTAGTGTCCTTCCTCATCAAGCTGCATCCCCTATAATGCCCCAGAAAACACCATCAACTGGGGATTCAGAGCTCAAATACATAAGCCCATGGGAGACATTCTCATCTAAACTGTCATAAGCCAGAAACACTCTTAATCACTGAAGAATCTCTCAAGCTCTTACCACATTTATCATAAATTTGGAGATTTGAAGGTAATAGAAGAAAAGTTGAAAAGAGTAATATTTGTGCCTAGAAGATATATGTAGCATATAATCAATAATTTCCAGTAGTAGTAAAAATAATAATGAGTAATAAAGATTACCTGTGTTACCTAGCTTTCCATGTGAAGAAAAGATGACAGTATTTTGTATTATTTATTTGGTCACTGAGGTATGGAGGAAAAAAAATCTAAGAATGATTCAAAACACAGTGCAATCACCAGCTCACTGTGTCAGTTAATCATTGCGTTAAAAATGTACGTATTTAGAAGACTGGTTCTCTAGTTGTTTCTTTTTTATCATAGAAGCACTATTTTTTATTAATTATTTATTATAATTTATTCACTTTGTATTCCAGCTGTGGCCCTTTCCCTTGTCTCCTCCCAATCCCTCCCTCCCTCTTCTCCCTTTATGCCCCTCCCCTAGTCCACTGATAGGGAAAGTCCTCCTAACCTTCTATCTGAGCCTGGCCTATCAGGTCTCATCAGGACTGGCTGCATTGTCTTTTTCTGTGGCCTGGTAAGGCTGCTCCCCACTCAGGAGGAGGTGATCAAAGAGCCAGCCTCTGAGTTCATGTCAGAGACCGTCTCTGATCCCATTACTAGGGAACCCACTTGGACACTGAACTCAGCATCCGCTTTGATACCTTGCTGAGTAGAGTCTTTCAGAGGCCTTCCATGGTAGGCTCCTGTTCTGTTTAATGTCTTCTGCTTCTAATGTCTATCACATTTGCCCTTCTGAATGAGGACTGAGCATCTTCTAGATAGCAGTGACCAGTGTGCACTGTAGTTGTTTTTTGTTTTTGTTTTTGTTTTCACAAAAGCACAACCATATTCTGCTAAGAAATGTCACTATAACACTCTCAGGTTTTGATGATGAGTTCTAGAGCACATACTAACATATAGAGAATTCTGGTCTTGTTAAACTTGTTATTCCATCTACAAGAGCATGGTTACATATTACCTATTTCCTGCAATATGGGGGGAAATGGCTGTGAAGACTTCATTCTCTGCTAAACATTCAATGGACATGTGAGGCATTGTAGTTTTACATAGCAGGAAACTAAATGAAAGGTGTCAATCAGCTTGACTGGTGTCACTAACCCAACAAGCCTGTCCCCAAGCTGTTCTGTGTTCATGCCTATAATTTTCAGTATTCTGTCATTGTATCAAAACATGGTACTCAGGTTTTCCAACTCTTTGTATTTCCCTAGTTGTTTCATCAGCATTCATTAGATGTTCTCTACTTTCCTCAGTGCAGATGATCATGAAGAATGAAAGACATAATGAAAGGAAAACATTATGGGAACAGGTTGTGAGAATTCAATGATCAGTAGTGCCTATCTCTACTTCCTTTCTACCTGACAAATAGAAGGCCCTTAAGTTAAGAGGTTTCACTAAGATCTGAAAACTATTTAGTAGCTGCATACAAATGGCTATAAAAATTCTAAGAGGTCATGACAAATGACATGACTGCATAATTGATTGTAAATCAAGATATCAGTTTAGCCATTTTGTAGAACCACTGAAGTCGGAGACAATGTCCCCCCCCCCCCCCCCGGCATTGTTTCTCCAGCCTAGCACATTTTTCCTGCGTAGAAGACCATAAAATATACCGTAGATGAAAATTCCATCTAATTACTCATAAGCCACTTGATATTTTTAAAAGCTCACCTTGTAAAGAGTTCTGATGCAGGCAATAAATGATTCTCCATTTGTGTTTCACCAGAGTGATGACAGCTTTCACATAGTCTGTGTTTCCAGCGAAAAGAAAGGAAATACATTAAGGCTTGATGATTCGCACTAATGCAAAGGAAGAAATGGTTTCTGGGGGTAGCTAATGTGTTAGAACAGTGGTGGCTCATTTGTATGTACCTTTAGAATATGGTTTTTCACTTAAGTATTGTAGTGATGTAGTACAGAGTTTACATCCTACCATTTAAAAAAATGAATGAAGGAAAATTTCTAGCAACAGAGGTTTGTATGCATGGGATATGATACTTTAAGGAGAGAGAGCTGAATTGGAATGCAACTATGCTAACTTATGCTTATTTTTCCGAGGCCAAAAAAGAAGCAAGTGTACTAGGACTTTATCTTGCTGTATCATTTTGGGTGGTCTTCCTGCAGAATGCAGACAGCCTTTGAGCCAGTTTTTATTCTGTTTGCCCTTCAATCCCATACTGGCTTTGGGTTCTTGTTCCTAGAGGCTTGAGCTATATTCCCACCCCTACCCCAGAACAATGGTGGGATTTGTATTTCATGTGAACTTCCTGAAGTTCCCATGACACTTTTTTCTTGGTTTCTGGGAGCTTCTCCCACTTCCTACAGCTGATTTTGGGTGTTAAGGTTACACCCTTAACACCTAGAAAAGGAAGAATTTTTATGGAGAAGGAAAATCTTAGGTGGGAAAGACACACACACACAAACACACACACACACACACACACACACACACAGCACATTTATATATATGTTTGCTAGTACCTAGCCTGATGTAAGAATGTAAGTAAATATTTAAAATACAGTGTGGCAAAAGTTCCTAAAGGTTGCAGAGATTGGGGAGAGTGGGTACTCATTCATCATACTTGCATTTCTGACACAGAGCTGGGAGACTGCACTGGAATGGGCTGGTTGCCCTCCACTGCAACACGCCTGCATTGGCGGAGAGAGAATCATGCAGGGCGAAGATGTGGGTGAACTACGCACCTGCAGCTGAGGCTGGAGCATTCAGCCTCTGTAATCCGTTCTGATCAGAAATACATATGTCTCCCTCCTTTGCATTTGACAGGCATATCACTTAAGACAAAGCTGTTTGTTCCAGTTCCATGCAAAGAATAGAGGTCTGTATTTTAAGTGATGCCTCATGACTTCTCTAATGAGCACCATGGTGTCCCTTTTTCATCCTAGAACTCTTGAGACTTTTCACTGGTAATTTTAAGCAGCTAATGATTGCAATAAAAGTTTTTAAACATGCACTGGCAAATAAACAATTTCACAGTTTCTCTAAAAAAAAATTAAAAAAAAAAAAAACAAAAAACTAAAGCCTCAAAATAACATAAGAGAATTAAGGTATCTTTCACCAGCTAAACATACCTCTTGTGTAATATAATTGTGATGTAGAACCAGAAAACCAGAACTGATGCAGAAACAGAGGGAGGGACGGTATGTTTTGTGGGGAAGAGGACATGCAAAGTGGCAACACTTGATTTTACCTGGGGCCCTTTTCCTCGTCTCATTTCCCAATTAATGACCACACCGACTGTAATCACAAGGTTTTAGCTTGAATAGGTATGGCTCCCATGGAGCCTAGTTTGAATCTTTAGCCCACAGGAAGTAGCACTAGTAGGAAGTATGGCCTTGTTGGAGGAAGTATGTCACTGTAGGGGCTGGCTTAAGGCCTCTTATGCTCAAGCTGTGCCAAGTGTGACATCCAGTCTCCTCTTGCATGCAGATGGCGATGTAGAACTCTTAGCTCCTTCTATAGCAGCCATTCTGCCTGCATACTGCCGTGCTTCCTGCCATGGCGATCATGGACTAAACCTATGAAACTGTTGGCCAGCCCCAAGGAAAGTTTTTTTTCTGTAAGAATTGTTGTGGTCATGGTGTCTCTTCACAGAAATAGAAACCCTAACTAAGACAGCACTTGTATTATTAAACAAACAAAACCAACCGAAAATCTTGTTACACTTCATTTACTTTAGCCCTTTGTTTTATTTTAAATATGTTGTAATAATTAACCTGTAGGTGGACATTTTGTTTTTCTTTGCAATAGATTATATTTTGCTTTGTCTATATTTTATAATAATGATAACTAAGGAAGTTTTACTGAATCCCAGTTTCTAAGGCCTGTGGACTGGGGGAGAAGGCTGAGTTGGTGAGGTACTTGTAAAGCAAGCATTAGCCTCTGCTTTTCATCCCCAGAACCCAATGTGTCTTTAACAGTGACAACAACAACAACAACAACAACAACAAAAGGTGTGTGGACTGTGGAGGTTGTCCTCTGGCTTTCATTCGCATGCACACACATTTGCACATGCACACAGATGAATACCCACAGACAGAAGCTGTCCTAGCCAATCAAATATTTTGATGCTACAAACACTATTAATTGTTCATTCTGTGCTTTGTTAGGTTACATTATGTTTTACTGCATTCCACTAAATTGGTCTCCCAATTACCATAATATTCATGAAATGA